CCACTCTTTTACAGCAGGGAATCTACACTAGAATACCTCCTGGTACATGGTAGTTAACATTTTACTTCCATGCTGAAATGTAAGAGACTAATTCACCCTCAGTAAACTTGTCAGCAAGGAGGCTGAGTTTAAGAGGACAGATGTAATAAAAAAGGGAGGATTTGTTGAAGGGTTTGCAATGTGAATTTGCTAAAATATTGTTATATAAAAACCAGGAAACCTGGTATCTATGCATAAGTGCATCTCAACATGGGCAACCAAGTTCTTTCAAAGCTCTTTTAGATTCTCGTAACAGCCTCACATGAAGACTATATGAAGACTGAAGACTTTCAAATGCCTCTGTGAACATAAGCATTTATATTTGGAATAAAATTAAGACACTTTTGTATTAAGAATCAGGAGCAACTAATTAAAACTCCCATTCCTGTTTGCACAGAACTGAACATTGCCCAAGGGTCTGTTTTATCCAGGATGGTCATCTTTGTGTCAAATTATTGCTTATTAGGGAGAGTCCATTTCAGGCAATTCCTTGATCTTATTTTCAATACAGGAAACAAGCTGGATTGCTCTCTGGAGCAAGAAATTACTTTTTACTGTGCTTGTATTGAGCTTGCCACAATGAGGTCCCAGTCTACAAGCACTAATACAATTCAGTTGTAATAATGGAAGTAGCAATGACTGCTCAAACGCATGTAACCTGGTATTAACAACAGCAGAAAATGAGAATATCTTTGTAATAATTTAATCCTATTTAAGTGATGTTGATGGGTCCTCTTAAGCAAAATGTTCTTGATATTTACTACTCCTTATCGGAGGACCATGAAATACTTTGCAAATACTAAACATCACAGACATTTATGAGGGTAGGCGAGTAACATCGAACATAAAGCTGCTAGGACCAGGCAGAAAGCAAAAGTAGGAGGCATCCTGCTATATATATATATCAGAAAGTTGACAGCATCAAACCAAGCCTGAAGAAAAATGAAGGAAAGCCATTAAAATCGGCCTCTGTGTGAACTTTAGAGTTGGGAGTAGGAGAAGACTATATATGGTTTGCTGGCAAAGCAGGTGTTTGTGTGGTGGAAATACAAGATGAAGGACAGTGAGCTCTCTTCAACAAGGAGAAAGTACTTCGCAGTTACAGTAAAAACCCTGGCAGCAAATTAGACATTGCAGGGGTGTAAAAGCACAAACCAAACCAGCGCCTCCGGATTAAGATAACCATGGGTATTCCAGACACATCACCAGCTGCAAGAAGGTAGGTATCCTAAATCACATCAAAATTTAAAAGCCTCAGTAAATATTTCCTTAACCAAAAGCTTCTAAGCTAGACAAACTCCTATATATCCCCCAAATGGTAAGTTAATTACAGAATCATAGAACAGTTTGGGTTGGAAAGGACCTTAAGATCATCCAATTCCAACCCCCCTGCCATGGGCAGGGACACCTCACACTAAACCATCTCACCCAAGGCTCTCTTGAGAAGCAAATCTCCAGCAAGAAGCTGGACTTAGAGCGGGATTGCAGAACTGCAACCCTAAAGCAAAAGTTTGTGCTACTTGGGCTGTATTGCTCTTCAAGCTCTAAATATCTCTTCAAGCTCTAAATATCCCCTCAAGCTCTAAGTATCATCTTTCCTTATAATGCATGATCAGTGAATAATATAAGAAGGACCTAATCTGAGAATTATCACAATAAAAATATCTACATATATTTTAATATACAAACACACAGCTGTCAATTCAAGATATATGAACTCAGCATATCTCTGTATAAAACTCAGGACGGTATAATTAATAATCTACATACCAAAAATACTTAGGAACAGAAGACTTTAGACATAGTGACCCAGGCTTCAATCGACTGGAAACGGGGTAATAAATCCACCTGCAGGAACACAATGATGTAATTGCTGTGGCCCAGACTAGCAGGGAAAGTAAATGAATGTTCAACAGTCCTGCAGTGAATTAAATGAAAGTTATAGACTTCTGCCACAGCTCAAGTATTGTCATTCTAGGCTTAAAGCCTTTACTATGCAGCCTAATGCGATTTGAGAAATCTTATATATGTAGCCCCATGGGGTATATGACACCCAGATGGCATTCTAAATGTCTTAGCTGATCTCAGACAAAGGATGAACAACATTTTGACAGTTATGATATGCAAAACGGTGAAAACGAGGTTCTAGAAACACAATCAGAATCTCAAAAAAAGAGTGATTTAGGTAAAATTCAAATATCCTTTCTGACAAATACTTTGGGTAAAAGAGAACTGAAGTTCATTCTCCTCAGTGAGTGTAGAACTGCCTGTTAAAGCCTGATGCTTACTCCTGTTTGTCAGAATTCTAATAAGATGGCATAAAAAAAGAATATTCTCTTGTTTTGAAAGCTGAGATGTTTTATTTCTGAGTACTCAGCTGTAATTCCACAGTGAATTTGTTGGTCAAAGTTGGCAATGACCATTAAAAAAAAAACCCATAACTCAAAAAACCATCCAATTTTGTCCAAACCTCTCCCCCCCCAACACATAGGAAGCAAAACTCAATGAATGAACACTATTAAACCAGCACATAGATACAAGTTCTTGCTTATCAATTTAAAGTCATCTTGTACATCAACAAATTCTATGACCTTACACTTGCTGTGAAGACTCTGAAATGGAGACATCTGTCTGCATTGGCTCACTAGAGTCATATGAAACACAAATGGGGACAAATTTACTAGTCATATTGCTATGCCTTTTCCTTAGTTCTGGAAATACATGCTATCAGTGCATTTACAGCATAAACATATTGAATTCTTTTTGTACATTCCTGCTTCACATAATACCTGTGCTTGTATCAATAAAGTTGCTGTAACCACAGACTGGAAAGATGCTCTGTATGAGCACTGATTGGCAAGAATGGAAACTGGTGCACCTAATGATCCCTCTATTAAAATATTGCTCAGATATTAAAGAAGAACAACACTGCTCTAGGCAACAAAATTCAGCATGAACAGCTGATGTGGGCTGAATCCTTCTTAAACAGATACAATTCTATTTTAGTGTCTTTTGTGATTATGACAGTTTTGACAAGATAATCATCTCCTACGAACAGGACTTTTTATATTTTAGAGAAATAATGTAAAATTTATTAAATAATCTGTCAAATTATCTATGAACCCTGCTTTCAAAAGAAATCTTATGATCTCATTAAAATAATTACAGAAAATCTATGCCTGATCTTATAAATAAGAAGTACCAGTATCACTGGTATCTAAAGGAGAGATCTAAAAGTAGAGGAATTTGCAAGATTCAAAAGGTGATAGCATGAATTTGTTCTTTTAAGGTAGCCAACTGAGGTTTCTGTATTAAATATCCTGCTCTCTATGTCAACTACTGAACTATAGCCTTCCAAATGGAAGGAAAGATGTCTGTAGCTATACTGAAATTAAATGATCTAGCAATGTACACTGCAGCCTCATTTCTCTTTCCTTTCTTCACACTTTGTTGCCTCTTTGCTCTTACTGCTACTGGGGCAAAGCAAAAGCCACTTCTATGCAGCAAACAATTACACAGGAAGAGAAGCACAGTTACAAGCTTCTCTTTAAAAAGTACAAAGAGTCTTTAAAAAAAAATATCTTTTCCAGAATTCTCTTTTCAGGAAGAACATTAGAAAATAAAGGAGTGAAACCTGAGAGCTAAAGAGTTGCTTCCTCTTAACTCCTGCTGCCACTGATTATGGCTTCACCCTAGGAGGTAGCACTGCACTTTCAGAATTCAAGTGCCTTTTGCCTCTTACACTGGGGAAGTTACCCTCTTTTAACTGAAAACGCCTGCTCTTGGAGAGAAAAGGGTAAAGTAATGGAGCAACACAAGGTGACAATGCAGGCAAAGCTTCTTATCACAAGACTTCAAGATAAACCCCACAGTATTATCTAAGAGAATGTTACAGATACAGGATGTTTTCCACCTAAGCTACTTGAAAGACACAATGCTACTGTCATGCTCCCATATCAGAGCATAACAGAACTGAAGCCCTTACTCATGAAGAGCATCACCACAGTAAGGCCTTGCATGACTCCTACTCATTGGCATTCTGCATCACAACCACTCCAGAAGCGGTCCCTATTGCTCAGTGACAATGAGGAGTCAACAGTCAACCCACAAACCTATTTCAAGCACAAAATGGAATTTTGTTTACCACGAAATCAAGCACAGTGTTTCTGAACAGCTATTTAATGCTTCCAGATCAGTTTTTTGAGAAAGCATCCAGAGAATTGTTCCAATACTTCACCAAGCTGAAGTACTAAACATATCTATAAATGGCAAGAGTTATTTAAATAGCTGAAAAGTTAACTGAAAGAGAAGAAATCCTACAATCATTTTGGAAAAGGTTTCAAGTGCAGAAGGCTATTTTCTCCAGAGAACTTAAATGAAATTTAAAGACATGAAATTTAAATTCACATAAATTATCATAGAATCACAGAATGCTTTGGGTTCGAAAGGACCTTAAGATCATCCAGTTCCAACCCCCCTGCCATGGGCAGGGTGCCTCACACTAAACCATCTCACCCAAGGCTCTGTCCAACCCGGCCTTGAACACCCCCAGGGATGAAGCATTCACAACTTCCTTGGGCAACCCATTCCCATGCCTCACCACCTTAACAGGAAAGAACTTCTGCCTTTTATCCAATCTAAACTTCTCCTGTTTAAGTTTTAACCCATCATCCCTTGTCCTGTCACTACAGTCCCTAATGAAGAGTCCCTCCCCAGCATCCTTACAGGCCCCCTTCAGATACTGGAAGCTGCTCTGAGGTCTCCACGCAGCCTTCTCTCCTCCAGGTTGAACAACCCCAACTTCCTCAGCCTATCTTCACATTTTTTTTTTCTTTTCACTTGTTTTTTTCTTTTCAAAACTGATTTATACTCTTTTTTTTTTTTTTTTTAATAATTTGAAAACACAAAGCAGCACCCAAAATTATCCAATAGAATTTTAAAGTCTTTAGAAGCTGACTCACCAGTCTCTTCACAATTCTCAACAAAAGCTTCAGTTGTTGTGTATCTTTTCTGGACTTCAGTACTTCAGCAAGGCTGTCCATGTTTTCCGGAGACATGCTCTCCTGACCGTTCCCTCCATAGAGCTGAACCAGCAGTGATAAGCACTGTGAGGCGCTCCCAAATATTTCAGTATCTTCACTGGGAAGCTAAAAATGAACAAACAAAAATCAAATTCCAGTTCCAGAAAAACTGCATATCACTGTATTGACATTTGCATTGTGCCAGGAAAGAATCGTTTCTAGTTGACTGACTCAAAATTCCATTAAACTTAGCTTAATAAAGTGAGGGAATTGTAATGTATCTGTTCTTAAGCAGCAGTATAACAATGTCTCCAGTATGATTCTATCAAATCTAACTCAAGTGACATAGAAGCACTGAAAACATTGCTCCCAACTCTTAGTTTTGCTTTAAATAGAAGTAGTAATATGAGAAAGTGTCTCATCATCTACATAATGCACACCATAAAACATCATTTAATTATTTCAAAGTGAAGTCTATGGCTTCTGGTTGAGGTACAGTACAGGCTCTCTGGCTATTTAATGGATTTTAAATAGTCACATTAGGAGGTATACTGTGCAGGTTTTAAATACTTTCTTGAATTCCAGCTTTTCTGCATTCCTTTGAAGAGCAGATACAGGAGCAGGCTCTTGCAATGGGATGGAAAAACTCTTTCCTAGGAAGCAAAGTTGTGGAAAAGATTTGAGGGCACGGCTAATAATCACCTTTAAATGAGCTTCTGATAGTATGACACTGCTATCAAAATGCTTTATACCCTTCTTGAAAGTACAATCTGGAAATCACAAGTAGAGATACTATATTATGCTTGTATTTGGCACTGTTGGAATGACAAGAAGAATGCAACGCCTAGTTTTAGCACAGTTCACAAAAGCTAGTGAAATAAATCACAGAGGTTTCTTGGGAACAGGCAAGAGGATGATAGATTGGAAAACAACAGCAAAGAACTGAAGGAATTCAGTGTCTATAGCTTATCAAAGGGAGGGTTAAAGGGCATTTGATCATACTCTCCCAGTTATATGTAAGAAAAAGCAGGCTGAGGATGGGTTCATTCCTTTACCCGAAAAAGGACTGGTATGAGATGATAGCTCAATTGCTTTAGATAAAGATTAGAAGGAAGATAATACTTTGATTTCTTTTATTCTTTCTTTAAGCAGAGTGATTAACTGCTGACACAACTTCCTTAGAACTGAGACAGCTTTTCCAACACAGGCCATTTATATATCACAACTTTTTTTTTCCTAAAAAATTAATATTTGTGTCTTGTGTTATGTATGATCCTAGACTGATTACAACTGCTTTTTTCCCACCTTACAATCCATGAACTGAACCAAATACAGCAGTGGTCATCGTAGCCAATAAGGTACAGAAGTGTAAAAACTCCTCATGGCTCCTATTCAGGTTTTATATTCCAGAAGTGGTGTTTATAATCAAAGCAGCTACATTACAGTTAACTGACTATCCCTACTGACAATAAAAGGAAACCATTTCTGTAGTCTGCCCAACCAGTTATAAAATATGCACAACCACTGCAATAATGGTACTTATTTAATTTGCAGTACGAACTTCCCAAGTTTTCTTCATTTTAAGGAAAACCTGTACAGTTACTTTAAAGCTCTCTATGCATATATCAGACATACAGCCCTCAAATATTCAAGCAGCAATTCCCCAGAGATCTGCATGCAAATAGAATCCTGTTTTCCATTAGCTTCCCAGAGCTGGCTGTTTAAACCAGCCTGAACTGAGATGTAAGCTCTGCATACATAGCCCCAAGACATATCACATCCTATTTGACCTAATGCTATGCAAGTGACAGGACCACAGCAGCTATTTCTTCCACAGTTTTCCTGTATGGTTTTTCTTCACTCTAATCTAAATGCCACCTATTTGATAGTTTCCTTTCCAACATCAGAATTATCTAACAACATCATCAACATAAATAGAAAGGCTTAAAAGGAGGAAAAGCTACAAATAGCAACAAGCTTTACAGACATTTATATCTTCAATGTTTATCAAGTAAAAAAAACCAATCACTGGTGGCTTTAAGCTGACTTGTATTTCCTTCACTCAAAAACTGCTATTAGGGAAAGGAAAGAGAAATTAAACTACTTTAACATATCCCTCCTCCCTGGCAACAGCAGCACTCCAGCATACAGTTTGCTACTAGCTCAGCATAGGCAGGTATGTCAACCTCTCTCTGAAGAAAAATCAGTCCAAGGAGGACTTTTCACATGTTGTTTGTGGCTAATCAAAAACAGAACACAGAAACCAGTGAACATTTGGATAGATCTGTCCTTGCCCTGGCATGGCAGTGGAGGCTGGTTCCCTCGGCTCCATAAGCACAAAATCCTACGTGTAATCAGTAATCATAACAGCCATACTTAGAAGTGAGACTGTTCCCAAGGTCTTTTTTCCTACATATACATTAAGTATCCAAAGAGGGGAGAGGTGTCAGTCTCTGTAGAGGACTGCCCCTACAACAATCTTCTGTGAAGAAATATATAACGTACCATGTCTTTGGCAGTTCTTCCTAACATCAGGAGGGTACATGATATTCAAGGAAGCAAATGAGCAATTCCAGCCTCCCAGCATTATGCCCAAGGTAGGCTGTCTTCAGCAGGAATCCCGTTAGCCTGACAGCAGAACATTTTGCCCTAGATGATGAGGGGTTGGGCTTGGGCTTTGCTTGTCTCATCCTGGCAAGCCTGACCTTTCACCATTGTTGCTGATGTTCTTTGTCCCCAAATAAAAGAAAGCAAGACCCCAAAATTCTCCATCCAATATGCCATAGCATCAGATCGGTTCACTCTTCACAGGATGTCAAACTTTCAGTGACCATCCTCCAAACCTAGCCACCAGTATCACTTCAGGGTTCAAAGTACTTGTTGGTCATGACATCATCCTATTCAATTCAAGGGCCTTTATCCCCTGTTGTACTTCAGGCTCTTCTGCTCCTCTGCTTCACCACAGTCCCTTTGAGCTTCAGTGCTATCTAGAGTTTGGGGAACAAGTTGCTGTCATCCTGGAAAACTGCAGGGTAAAACAGTAATAGCAAAGGTCCTGGATGAAGAGGGAAACATGTTGGGAATAGGAAAGATCATATTTAGTCCGGACAGGATGAGAATAATTGGTCTATGGCCTAACCCATCAATAATTAAGGTGGAAGAGCAATGTCCCTATTTAAGTATGTCCACATCAGCACTTTTCTCTATAACTCTCCCCATTTTGCTGTTTCACTACTGACAAGTAGTGATTTAGATGTCAAAAGTTGTAAGTTGGCAGCCTGAATTTTAACACTGACTGGCAGTCAATGTTCGTACCGGTTATAAACAGCAGGAGATCTGAAGAAAATTACTGGCATGCAAAAAAGCAATGACTGAAAACAGAATACCTGTAAATATAGAAAACCAAGGAATAAAAACTCAGCTTTCAAGAAATAATATCTCCTGTGTAATAAGAACAGTGAAGCTAGAAAGATGCAGCTAGACAATGAATACAGATAGTCCACCTCTTAAACAGCTGCAACAGTATTGTGATCATTTTCTAATCATAACTCCATTTGATATAAAGAAGTATATTTTAAGTCTCAGAAATGCGTTTATAGCATAACATAACAGCAGCTCCTTAAGTTTTTGTTCTTTCAGAGGAAGAGAAACCCGTGAAAAACTAGAGCTCTAAATGTTTAAGAAAATATCTGCCCCTTAATATTTGATAGTTACATGAAAAAAGAAGTCTCATGGCCTTTGATTTCTTTTTGCTTTATCAGTCTTACAGGGGATTATGGATTCAGCCCTTCAGCAAAGTAGAAATGTTAGTACTCTTTCTCCTTGCAGCTGTTAATATTCTGAGCTAGCGTACAGCTTGAAGAAAATCCAGCTCCTCAAAATAAATTACTGAACAGCTAAAGGCATCATTTCTGCCATTCTCTACCTCAGAACTGTAGATTTTACATTTCAACAGTTTAAACTAATGCCTCATGACAAGACTTTTGTACAATGGAGAATGTGGATTCCTTAACTTTTACAGCCATGTTATAACTCCCTGTCAACAGGCTCATAACAAAGTTGTCTCTTCTGGACAGAACCTACTCTATTTTAAGGTTAACGTGCTGAAAAGCAGGGAGTTTCTTGTTATTAGACATCGATATTTCTGTAATCTGTTGTCAAAAATGCCTTCATTTTGACCAGAGTTGCAGCGTGTTCATGAATTGCAAACCGCTGCAAGAAATGTGTGATCATTTGAGCTGAAGGGGCAGTTTTCACAGCGCTGGAGTTGTTACAGCATCTAATTTCAGAGCCACAATGAAACTGTCTGGATTACCCGGAGGGGACACTATTCAGTGCATTAATGAGGTTATCCACAAAGAGAGTTTATTACGATAAGAGGTAGATGTTCATTAGATCAGTAGTGTGATTACAGAATGTGCTGTAAAGGAAGCACCATTGGGAACTATAAGGAAGATGATTTTGTGAACATTAAACAAAATGTAAAAGCAAAACATCATTACTAAATCTGCTCCCTTTACTATGCTATCATTAGTAGTAAGTATGCACAGTTTAAAACGAAAAAATAAAACATTATTACAGATTAGGGCAAAATTGGGAAATTAGGGAATGTATTTTAAAAAACAATGTATTTCCAGTTCATTATAATCAAGTTTGATTGCTGAGAAACTAAGTCCCCATTCTGAAATGCTGTGATAATATACTGTTGTTTCCTCCAGTGTCTTTTGGGGTGGTTTTGGTTGTTTGGTTGGATTTTGGGTTTTTTGGTGGGTTGGTTTGTTTGATTTTTGTTTTTTTTTAGGTAGCTCTGTAGAATTCTTCACATATAATTCAAGCATAACATTTCAAATACAAGAACAGCAATACATAATGCAATACAGGAAATAAATAGATGCCTTTCCACTCTGGCCACAGAACTGTTTGCATTCCTAAGAAATGTGAAATAGAAGTCTACAGAGTTATCATTCCTCTGCAGTCATTTTCATTAGTCACTGGCAAATGCCTCACACACTCTGAAACCAGAGTCAGGGCACAGCCTTAGAACCAGTGCAACACAGAGACAGAAAGGACCTAGAAGAGATTATCTCATTCGTCCACGTGCAATGAGGCTCCATATTTGCCCTCTTCATGTCTGCACATGATTAACTTGTCTTTCAACAGTAATATACAGAGCACAGTATGGAATTGCAGCTATTACTAGTACTACTACAATGAAGAAGCCTACCACCAGAAGACAGGGAAAGTTCTCTCCCAGCAGTCCTGTAGGCTTAAAAAAGACTGGAAGATCTACACGTAGGATCTAAATCTAGGATCCATAGAGAAATGAAAGTCCTTTTCAAAGGTAACTGCAAAGTTCCTGAAAGTTTCTGAAAATCCACACTGAAGCTCTTTAAGGACTAAGCAAATATTACTGTTTTTTAATTTCAGGTTAACAGTACTTCAAAAAGAAGGTATTTGTTATCTTCTGTAATTGCTGCAGGTTTCGGTATAATAACCAATTCAGATTTATTTTCAAGCTAAGCAAAGTTACTCACAACAAGCTAAGTGTAATTAACTTTAAAACACAAAACCGCCAAGCAAAAGCGTAAATGCTCCATTTATTTTCCTCTTATGGATCATTTCAGGGAGACTGACCATGGGGTTAAATACTGAAGTCTCCGTATTTGCAGTGTTTTCTGCATGCCAGAACATTTAATTATTTCTTCTTTTGCATTCGCAAAAACTCTGAAGTTTCATTTACATGCAATCTAGGTTTTCCTATGCTTACTTTGCTAGATCATAACGATAGACTAAATCATGGTTACAGCGGGGGAAAACTGATTCTACGGTTTTGACATATTCATTGCATACTGATTTTTGAGGGATTTTTAAGAGAGAGACATACAGAACCCGAGGAAATTAATGGACAAGTAATGGGGCATGGAGCAATCACCTACTTGATGGATATACAAATTGACGAGGGAAAGCAGTTACTCTAAGTGACGTAAGAAACTATAAATATGGTAAGATAAGTAGAAATAGCAAACCAGAGAAAATTATTTTAACTCGGTACCTTAAAGTGATGGTTGGTTCAGAATTTAAGACTTTGATTACCTCCGGAAAATAAAGTTCACAAAGAACTAAATGCCTCAAAGCATTAATAAAGTGCTACGTAACCACACAGCTCGATGAATACAGCCAACTACTGTTGGCAGCTACACAGAACATAAGCTTGGGTAGACCTGAGTCTTTTACAGGGGTACGGAGTGTACACATCTTGAGAGAGCCACTAGACTTCACAAAGAATCAAGTCCTATTTGAAGAGATCAGAGCATAAAACATTTTAAACAAGTGGATCCTAAATGTTAAAATTATTATTCAGTTGTTCAAACTCTTCCAGCCTTAACAGGAAATGTTTAATATAGCAATGGGTAAAGGATATAAAACTTAACAAACCTAGCTGAAATAACTTTCATTGGTCTAATCAGGCACACGTAAAGAACATGTATTACAAGAGGAAATCCCTTAATTTTACAAAATCCTTAGCAAAAAACCATCAAAAAACCATTCAAAACCATCCCCCCAAAAAAGCAGCACCATCAATGGTTTTTCCTCTTAAACCCAGCAGGTTTTAAATAAGCATTTTAAACACACCAGAATCTGCAGAAATACAGAACAAAGCAAAACCTAGTGGCAATTTGCAGTCATGCTTCTCAAATACAAGTGCAAGTTAGGATCTAATCAGTACATGCTAACTATACAATTATCCTATCCTTTAATTAACTTATAAAAGACTTGCAGGTGGTTTAGGCTGAGTAAAGCTTGGCCTCTAATTTTCTGTTCTTTTGAGATTTAATGGAATTTAAATTTATGGCTAGTTTCACTTTAAAAGAACATTTGCATCACTTCATGTCTTGCTATTTATCATGTATAATGATTAAAAAATTAGCAGAAAATAAATTAAAAGAATTTATAAAGATGATAAATTATATAGTGAAAATTCAGTCACTTTGGTTTAGGTCATTCAGTGAACATTTCCAAAAAGCCTTTGTCAATAGCTGGTTAAAATAAATCCATCAAAGGAGAACTTAGCAACATGTATAATGCCAAAATTTAATAAAAAAGGAATCACATTCTTCCCCAAAATAGAACATGACAGACAGAGCTAAAGATAGTAAAAAGGGCCCAGTATTTATAACATAATACCTCTGAAAACCTACATTTAAATGAAAAACAACAAAAAATTGAGTCTGGAAGAGAACACAGCGAATCTGAAATGCCTCTGAGCAACATAACCTGGAAAGGATAATAGTGTGATATTCCACAGGGAAGCTCTCACATACCATTTTAATGGCTTTATGTTGCATAAAAGGCTGAAACAGCCTCTAAAACCCCTGTCCAGCTCAAGAATTCCTCTACTACAAGCTATTACACACAGAGCTAATACAAATCACTGGCACAGTATGATGGAGGTTGAGCTGATGGGATGCATCAGGGCCACAATACAGCACTCTGTGGAGATTTCAAGGCAGCACTGTGAAATCTAGTAAACCCTGGAAAAGTCTAACTTTAAACAGACTTCAAAGATGTTCACAGAGCACCAGGGGCCATTCCTACTTGTAAATCCCCCAGGATCATATTAAAATAAAACTAAACCCTTGGGAAAATCTCCAAAGGCTCAAAACCAAAATAACATTAAAAGGCATTACTCACTGCAATCAATTTTAAGTTTCCTGACTTTTCTAATGGTAGAAGTACTTGTTTCATGTACTTTCCCTAAGCAGCGATCACTAGTCCATTCTAAAGGACTAAAATTTGACTATACATATGTATCCAAACTGAAAATCTGCATCCTGCACCTCATTCCACTTTTATGCTTGGGACAGACTTGGATGTTGCTGTGACCTCTAATTGCTTAAAAACTGTTAGAGTCTAGGTGGGAGCTTACAAGCAATGAAAACTTAGCAAACACAGTTCAAGGCTGTTGAATTCGGTTGAGTAATTCCAACTTCAGCAACATTCCAAAAGGCTCACAAACAAGCAAATCCTTACCAGTTGAATAAGCAGGCTAATTAGGTCCGTCAGGGGTTTATTGATAAGCAGAAGCTCTTCAGCAGCCTGTGTGTCCCCTCCTGTGCCAGATTTCTGTGCCTTAATAAGGTGAGAAAAGAATAAAAGCAACCTTGGTGACTGTTGCGTTACAAGGAACAAATTAGGTCCATTAGGTGGCCAAACTCTGAACCGAAGTTTGAAGGAGACTTATAAACTCTTTTCTAGTTAAGTATTCCTGGGCTCCCAAGGAGCAGTTAATGCTCCCTGTGTCTGTAACAACAAGCCCAAAGCAAAAGGGAGTCATGCTGTCATGCCCATCCTGCATAGGCTAAATATACTGACCTACATGACATTTCTTCAGCAAGATGCTATAAACTGTATATGCAAAAGATATCTCTAAAGCTATAAATGTTTTATGCATTTGTACTCCCTTCAACATAACATGCCTATTTTAAAACTGAAGTTTGATTGGGTTTTGTCCTTTATCAAGAGGAATTTTAAGTTCAATCAAAGAAAATCAAGGTGACTGAAAAGTTAGGATTCTCAGCAACAATGTCCAGTTTTGCCCTTCTGACTCTGTGTATCCTGAAATGTTCATCATATATTATAACAATTTAAGTTATTTTTGAAAGAGGAAGAAGAAAACCTTCAAGTGACCCAAGTCTGTGATAAGATCTGTTACTACTTGTAATGCTGGCCACTGTCACCTACCCTCATCAAAACACACTCATCCTAGGCAGTGCTATTTATGACCCATCCCTGCTCCAGGATACCAGAAGGGTTTGCTTGTAATTATTCTGCACCAGCTTTGGACCATGACCCTGTACAGTTGAGCTGCTAGAGGAAAATGTACACATTTTATCTAAAGAACACATTTAAAAATCATTTCATACTGTGTTTCATTTGAAGCTCAATTCTAAAACCATCACCCAAGTATAATACTTGAGGACTTTCATTTATTAAGCAAACACAGGAGCAAGCCCCCTGAGACAGGGGACACTACTGCTGAGGCTCCACTGTTGATACTGATGAGTTGAAAGGATAATGCCTTTCTTCTGGAAAGAATATAGAAATAAAACAGATCTGGAAAGCTGTTTCTCCAGGTAATAAGACACATTGTAGTGAGTCTCAATGAGGGATATACAAATGACCTTTAATGCTGAAGTATAAGAAAGGCAGAAGAACATAGCATATAGAAGGTAAAACAAAATGGAGTGTCTATATTAATCAAGAAGGGGAAATAAGTCACCTTCACTTCAGCAAAATTTACAATAGCTTTTCTGGTTAGTGCTTGGATGAGAAAACAGGTAACTGTTGGACTTTATGATAGTAATGGTCTTTTCCAGCCCAGTTGATTCTATTATTCTATGTTTGACTACTTTCTTTAACTTCTATATATTTAGTGACCGCAGAAAGCAAACTCTTGAATGAAGCTCAAAACAGCTATCAGCACCATTCATCATAAAGCACTGAAATGCAAAGGAGAAGTGGTGCCATGTTTTGCCTATGCAGCTGGATAAGTTTATCACTTTACATACAAAAAACTAAAATAAAAAGAATTCAAGTGGAAACAGTACCATCTGTAAAAGTCAGCTTAAGCCTCAAAAATGGATAATAGGAGAAAATTTGATTCTCTTTTTCAAGTTCAGTTTTAGAAGGTATCTTATTCAGAAGATCCCTATAAAAACAGTCCAAGAATATTTGTCATCACTATAGTGATGCATTTAGTGACCCATGGATAGTGGAATACTGCGTAGATGCACTGTAAATAGCCACCAACTAATGGCCATCATTCAGTAAGGCATGTGTAATGATGCAGCTGTAGAAGCCACAGGGGCCCTTTGACAAGTATTATCAAGTCAAGTATGCCAAAGCAAGTAAATTCACTGTAAAACTAGTTTTATAGGGGCACAGGAGAGAGCTGTGCTTTAAAACTCAGTTTTCTAGCTGCCTCCTGTTCCCATTGGCTTTCCAGAGCAAAGCAGATCACTTTGGCTAGAGCTGGACAAAAGTGGAGCTGGAGTCTAGCACATCAATCAACTGATGTATTCAGGCAAAGCCAGAATGGAATTTGGCTTTGAATGTATAGATTTAGTTTTGTATCTAAAAAAAAACCACCAATCAAATTCACTACTATTACTAATCCATGGGTAAGATCCTCTTTCCTCATACGTGTCTTCACCACCGTTGCATGGAAACTAAGTACAGAATTTAGGCCTCTGTGATTACATGGAGTGATGCCAACAACACGACAATCAGCACTTAGCCTACAGAATTTGATTTTAAAAGTGATTCTTAGATAAGAAACTCATTACAGAACCTGCTAACAGCGGACTCAGAAAAGACACGGTATCATACCATCAGATCTAAATTAAATCTCTTCCAAAAAAAATCAAGGAAACCCCCATCTCTCAGGATTATAACATCACTGATTACATAAATCTGTGTAGGAAATAAAGTAGGGGCTCAATTTTCTATACCCACTTCATACATTAAATCTTCTTATAACCTCCCCCCCCAAAATAACCAACCCTTGGAGAAGGACTATGTCAGATTGAAGAAGCCATGTCCTGAATGTACAATCTAGCTACAATCTTTTGAATCTCTGTCCTTCAGATATATTGGATCTAAAAGACTTTTCTATTCCTCAGTGGATAATCCCAAGACCATAAAAAACTGGCATGAAGAGTATGTGGTGTTGTTTGAAGCCTAGAGAAATTGCTTCCACTTGACTAACTTCAAAATTTGGCAGGTATTTTAAAACCAAAGCAAATACTGCTAGCTTAACATCATGTCTAAAAAAAGATGAAAGCTTTTTCTTTTGTTCTTGAGAGAGTTATGTGTAATTTCCTTGAATAGTATCTTTTTGTGCTCCATTTCTAAGGAGGAGGAGGTCTTCATTGGAAGAGGAAGTCCTATCAATGCCATAATTTGCAGTGGTTCAAACAAAAACTTGGAAGACAAATTGAGCAGCATGAGAGGAAATACTTTTGTCGGTGCACAGGCAAGGGTTTCAGATGCTCTTCAAGTACAGTATCACATGTGATTTATAATAATAAGATTTTTTTATGGAGTAATCTTTTAAAATGAATGGAAGAAAAATGCTTTGAACTATCATCAAGCAAATGTTGAATTACAGAAACAAAACAGCTAGGATCTGTGTTTCTAGCACACAATGAGGCTAATGTAGATATTCTGGCCTGGTAACTACATGAAACAGTGACATAAAGTTGAAAAATACATGCTTTTCTCTTTCCACCACACTAAAATGTCAATGAAATCAGATTAGTGGGAATTTCATTATTAGGATAACAGGAAGTTATCTAAAAAGGCCAAGCTGGTCAGAGCCTTGGGTGACATGGTTTAGTGTAAGGTGTCCCTGCCCATGGCAGGGGGTTGCAACTGGATGATCTTAAGGTCCTTTCCAACCCAAACCATTCTGTGATACTATGGAAACTGTTTAAGGTGGTGATGATCCCAGGAAATGAATTCCATACCTGTAAAGTCTGGCGCACAATGTTGGCTGTATACATCAGCATGCAGTGCAAAATGTCAAGCAAGGACAGAAGCGGTGCATTCACTGTCTTGGTGCTGCTTTTATCATCTGCCTCCAAGTACAGAGCCACAGTTTCTGTTAGGAGACTACAGATATGATGAACCAGTCCTACAGAGAAAGTGAGACAAAAAAGAGAAGTAGGCTCTCAGGAAAAGAACAATGTGGAAGGTAGCCTAGTTAAAAATCATAGATTAGAATAAAGAAAAAGTCACATACATTATGAATGTGTATTAAATTTCCTCTTTTTATCCATTATTCTAATTACCTTCTCTCCTATTCTGTTTGGAGCAGCTCATAGAGTTAAACTGATACAATCAAACTTGCTAAGTGCATGGAAAATTACATAATATTCATTAAATAAAAGGCATTCTTTGAGTCCTAAACTTTTCCATAGCATGCTGGTACACAAGTGTCCTTCGCAACACTCCTGGTCACAAGAATGAAGCAACTTCCTCACGCTGTATAAAATGACACATCAAGCTCCGAGCCCAAGATTTTGCGTCTTAACTGGTGTGCCAATTACAACCTCTACCATATGCTTTACAATCTTATGCTTAACATAAAATATATTCAGAAGAACATTATATAAGGAACACCAAATACTACACCTAAAACGTTATTAAGATTTGTTTGACTGATGGTGATCAAAAGTTTCCTGAAAATATCTTCTTGTTTTGAAGCTTTTTTTAAAGCTCCTTTGGAATATAATACCATCAACTCCTGTAGCTTGCTTAACCCACAAATCAACTGACATACCAGAAAAAACATAATCCATTTCAAGGCAATACAAATTAAATTCAGAATGTTTCTTACTCTCAAATACAAAATGACTGAGTTCATTATGTTTGATCTTACATCTTTCTCTTCCGGAGATTCATAAAGAATAAAAGATATTTTGTTCCTCATCAAGAACATAACTATGTTGTAAATTATCTTATTTTAAACTGGTAATTAGCCATAATGTGATTTGGGTGCACACAGGCAGTAACATCGTGGTATATAGAATATTAGGTTTTAGTCCTCCATGACTCTAAAATGACTGAAGTATTTCACTGATTTCACTGAAGTAAAAGAGTGCTTTTATCAGTTCTCCTTTAAAAATAATTGTATGTATTTCTACAAACATCAGTACAAGATTAAAAAGAGACAATCCGCAATCACACCGTTCAGCCGTAGTGAGGAGTCAAATCTGTGTGGTGTTGAGCTATTTTGTCTTTGAAAGATGCCCCATCAGTTAACTAAAGTTCCATGAAATATTTTCCTCCCCTATTCATCAAGCTTAATACTTTCCCCAGGAAATGAAACAAAAACATTAATTTAGAATACAGCTATGGGTCAGGATCATAAAGACTTACACTCTTCTTGTATCTCGCATCTTTTGTGTTTTTATGATTACTAGCATTATTCTTTCACCATGGTTTGATTGATAGACTACAGCTCAGGCTAAGCTTTGAATTTCCTGGAGTTTTGTCCGCATAAACTAAACTCTCCAAATTACATCAGTCTCATCTCACACTTTTCATTTCCTTCTTTTTTAAAGCACAATTTCTGCTGCAGTTCTGAGCACTTCATACAAAAATGAGCTGGCATGCAGAGACACGTTGAAGTGATGTCACCAATACCCACCAAGAAGCAAAAACCCAGCCATAATTCTGTGTTTACCTGATACAGAACTTGTGCTTATTCTACACCTTTTTTCACCAGATTAAATTAGAATAAACCTAAGAAAACAATCCAGTAAGAGCTGGTCCCTATCAAAGCAACGTCTGCTAAACTGCCTGCAGGGATATGTCCAAGTACACTCTGTTTCTCCCTCTAGATGACCACAAAACCCACAGCCACATCAGACTGAATGAGTCACCCTGTTATTTCTAGATGGCTTACACAAAACCCTCAAGACAGTGACTTGGAGATGAATGCTGAGAAGGCCACTTTAAATAAAGGCATTGTATTGGTCATCATCAAGAATTTCTAATCAGTAGTCCCCTCTATATTTAGAGCACTAAGTAGGGAATGATAGCAGTGAACAGAACAACAGGATCCATGCCTATGATCTGCAATCCTTTCCCTTTTAACTTTAAAGAGAACTACTTGTTTATTGCTTTGACTGTACCAGCCTGAGTCTCACAACTGCCTTGTTTCTGCTGTTTGGTGAACAGAACACTTGATCTTTGGCCCAGCCATTGAGATATGAATAATATTATCACCTAGATTTTGTTCTCTTCAAGTATTTACATCCTTAGGCTATGTGTATTAGCAAACCCTGCCTCCGAACACCTGAAACACAGCAGAATATTCACGTTCACTCTGTTAACGAAACCATCAGAATTAGATTTTAGGTACATACGTGCTCAGACAGGGTTATATGTACAAAGCTATGCATGTTAAATTTGGAAAGTTTGGGGAAAACCAAAACTTTTCCTGAACTTTAAAGACCTTTGGGAAAAAACACATCAAAACTTCGTAATAATGATATCTAAAATACTGGTGCAAAATGTTCCCTAACACGCTGCATGATTCACACAGAAACCTGATAAATACTTGGTTCCACAGATAAAACAGACTGACCTCTTGGCCAAATAAATAAAGTTCTAGACGTGCTCTTTAAATGACTGCATTGTGTCACGACACAAGGAAAATTGGAGGCCACAACTGTAGACATGTAAATACACTCCTTGCTTACACCACAAGACAAAATACACGTTCTTCGCCCTCAGAAGAGAAAGTTGGGAAGCTGGTATAATTTACAGTGACCACGACAAAATTCAACGGGAGTTTAATGGCCGTGGTCACTGGCACTGTAACCGGTTTACTCAAAACTATAAAGACTATAAAACCTAAAAGCTATAAAACCCAAGAGCTATAAAGATCAAGAGTGACATGCCTCAGCGTCCCAAAATAGTCTGAAAAAAGACAATGCAATCCTAAACAAAAGGAGACTGTATTCGTCACTCTGGAAATCATAACATAAAAATTGCCTACGTATCTCTGAGTTTCAGAAGATATACTAGAGGTTTTCCCCCAAATTTCACAACCAATTCAAGAACCGCATTCTTCTTAATTTCCAATAGAGCCTAAAACAATATTTAGCTTCAAAAACCTCAGACAATATATTTCTGAGTCATATTTAGAATCACAGAATAGAATCATAGAACAGTTTGGGTTGGAAAGGACCTTAAGATCATCCAGTTCCAAACCCCCTGCCATGGGCAGGGACACCTCACACTAAACCATGCCATCCAAGGCTTTGTCCAACCTGGCCTTGAACACCACCAGGGATGGAGCATTCACAAAAATTTAACAGACATAACATTCTTATGTAGTAATTCTCATTAGAAAGTAAAATAAAAATAAGTAAATAAGTAAAAAATTGTAGTAATTCTTCATTAGAAAGTAAAATGAGCTCAGATTCAAAAGGCACATCCCATGCTCTCCTGAACTTTGGAAGTGGTGCATCTGAATCTGAATCCGAATCCTGTATCACAGAGGAGAGCTAAAATTAAGTCAAGGCAGACTGAGAAAAGTTATACATTTGGAAGTATTCTGGTACTTCCAAGGATGTTGGAAATAGCCCACTTTCTCAAGAGAAAAGTGTTAGCAACAGTTTATGTGGATGAAAGTAATCCATCATGAGTTCTTTCGGATAGGGATTTCTTACTAAGAGAATTAAGTAAAAACTTATCTAACTTACAGGATTTTTTTGTTACTCTATTTATTTGCAAATTTTAGCAAAGAAGAAGCATCACATCCTATTGCTCATAGATGTAGTTTAAATTTATTGCAGTACTTGTTAGTGCACTAATGCCTTATATTTACTTGTAAAAGAAGGATCTTCGAAATATCAAGTGCAGTGCTATTCAAATTTTGCATAAAAATAATCCAAAACTTGGATTTTGCATTAGAATTATGTTTATAAATAAACATAACTAGAATTGAACAAAAAAAACTCTTCTAATTGCTGTCCAAGATTCATAACATGTAAAAAAGATTGCATGCAAAATTCCTACCCCCAGTTCTATAGCATCTAACAACCCAGGTGTTCACAGCAGAGCGTTTCTCCTGCGGAGACCTCTAGAATGAACTGAACACGTTGCTAATATCACTCTATGAATGTGGACTGTGATGACTATGTTTGTGCTTTACAAATCTTTTCTAAAGATGAAAGGAGTCTTTTGGCCCATGCTACATCTAATCAGACAGAATGTGCCATGATACCTTCTGGAATAAAAGCTGAGGGGAGATATTTTATTCTCACCTATTAGCAAGATGGATAAAGGAAAAGACATCTTCACATCCAAATCATACAAAACATAAAAGGGGAGCCTAGGAAGCGATCTTCTAGGCAATCCTTTCATACCTATCAGCAATTAGAGCATTCAACAAAGCTTTCTGCTTCCAGCTGAAGAAAACGTTAGAGCAGATGTACTTCCTCGAACAATGCCACCAGCAGCAAATCCCTCAGCCTGGCACAAAGCTTTCCCTTTGTTCCCTTCTGTCTGGTGCTGTCTGGAGAGATTTTTCCCTATTTGCATCACACCTACACAACTGACTCCTCAAGGATGTTACCGTATACGCATTCTCTAAGACTCTTCTTCCTTCTTTGACTTACAGAGTGAACGTGGTTGGGCTTTTGGCCTGTTTTTAAACAAAACTACTCAAAATAACAACATATTGGGAACTAGAAATGACACCAACAAAGTAACCAGAAAACATATTTGATAATCTTTTTAGATTTGATAATCTTTCTAGATAAAACTCAAAAACAATCCTGAAGAAGATCCTGTACTCTGATAGATTCTCTCACATAGGAATTCACTCCTAAGTACCTGAGCACTTAAGATAATCCATCATGTCATAAAGATTCTTCATAAAACCTTATTTACCTATTTAAACCTGGGATTTCATTTGCATTCCTTGCATCACAGCCCTACCACTCAAGGGTTCCTGTTTTGAATGACTGAAAATAGGCAACATAAAGCAAATGGTATCTTTAGGGTAATGACATTTTTAAAAGAGGCTTGCTGCTTTTGTTGTTATTTTTGTTCGTTATTTGTTAGTGTTTCTGTTTTAGGAACTATTTGTGCTAGCACTATATTATTACTGAGGGA